TCCTTCCTTCCTTCCTTCCTTCCTTCCTTCCTTCCTTCCTTCCTTCCCATAGCTAATAAGGAAATATGGTTTGAATGATCTCACATATATATTCAGTATCATATTTCTTACCCTGTCAATAGGTGAGGGACAGGCAGGAGAGAGGGGTGAGAAATTGTAACTCAACATTTCAAGAAAAAGAATACTAAAAATAAATATTTCATTTTGAAAAAGTCCTTTTCTGTTTGGACTCTGGGCATCTCCCATAACAGTTATAGTTTTTTAAAACAAATATCTTGCTGGTGTTTTTTGTTTTTAGTTTTTTTATATGACTGTTACATTCTACGACCTCTTTGTTTTTTCCAATACGTTTTTCCTTGTGACAAATAATAAGCCAACACAAATAAATGCAGTGGCTATGTCTGAAGATGTGTACTGCATTCCATGATAACATGCTTTTCACCATCTGTTTTTTGAAGTCATGATTTGTCAATGAAATTTTCCAAGTTTAGAGTCTTTCAGCATAATTTTCCTTTACTATAATGTAGTTATCATGTAATTTGTTCTCCTGGTTTTACTTATTTTGCTCCGTATCAGTTCACAAAAGTCTCCCCAAGTTTCTCTGAATTCTTTATATATGTCATTTCTTATGGCATAATAATATTCTGTTATATTAGCATACCATACTTTGTTCAGTCATTGCCCAATCAGAGGGTCCTTATTTTCCTTCCAGTTCTTTGCTAATGTTAAAAAAAAAAGTACTGCTGAGGTGGAACCAAGATGGCGGGTTAGAGGCAACCCAGATGAACTCTCTCAACATTCCCTTCCAAACAACTTTAAAATAGCACCTCAAATCAAATTTTAGAGCAGCAGAGCCAACAAAAGGTCAGGGTCAGACATTTTTCTGGCCTAAGATAACTTAGGAGTTGGCAGGAGAAGTTTGTGACACCAGCATGGAAACCTGTGTAGAGCACATACATGGCAGCGGCAGCAACAGTGACTGTTGGAGCAGCTTCAGGAGCTCTCAGCTCAGAGATGGTAAAGGAGTTGGAACACTGATAAGAAAAAGATTACGGGGGAGCCTTTGCTGGCACTGGGTACAGCTGGCACTGATTGGAACTCTATTGCCTATACATGGTTTTGGTTTTGGGTCCCAGTTCCAGGGTAGAGAAGAGCACTGAGGGTCAATGACAAGGAAGCAATGGGGCTCTGGTTGTACTTCAGGGTAAAGAGAGTGCTAGCCTCTGTGGCTTCAGGGGATCAGCGATCCTTCTTGGATAGAGATCAGAATGCAAGCCAGGAGAACAGTGACCATACTCTTCCAGGATCATACCACCTTAGAAACACCAAAACTTGCAGACCCCCAGAACTAGCTCTGAAATCAGCAGCATGAAAAATCCCAAAGCTTGGGACAGTGCCCTCCCCACACACCCCCTTCACCCCAGGTGAATACAGTCCAACTTGAACATAAGGTTCAAAGTCAAGAAATAAGCTAGAAAAATGAGCAAACAACAAAAAGAGAATTTCACCATAAAAAAGCTACTAAGGTGGCGGGGAAGACCAAGACATAAACTTAGAAGACAGCAATATGAGAACAGCTACAAAGCCTCAAAGAAAAATGCTAATTGGACTTAAGCCCAACAAATATTCCTGGAAGTGTTAAAGAGATAAGAGTAGTAGAGGCAAAATGGGGGGGGGGGGCGTGTTAGGGAGGAGAATGAGTGCTGCAAGAAAAGTATGTAAATTATGTAAAGAGAGAGGTAAAAGAGGCTTAAAAATACTTAAGAAAATAAATACTGATGAAAATGCAGAATTGGCCAAATGGAAAAAGAGGTACAAAATGTCACTGAAGAAAATAATTCCTTAAAAATTAGAATTGGGTAAGTGGAAACTAATAACTAATGAGAAATCAAGAAACAATAAAACACAGTCAAAAGAATGAAAAATATTTGAATATGAAGAAAATGTCAACTGTTTCATAGAAAAAAAACAACTGACCTGGAAAATAGATTGAGGAGAGATAATTTAAGAATTATTGAACTACCTGAAAGCCATGATCAAACAAAGAGCTTATACATCATATTTAAAGAAATTATCAAGGAAAACTGTTCCAATATCTTAGATCCAAAGGGTAAAATAGAAATTGAAAGAATCCATCAATTATCTCTTGAAAAGAAATCCTAAAATGAAAACTCCCAGGAGTGTTAAGCCAAATTACAGAGCTCCCAGGTCAAAGAGAAAATAATTCAGGCATCCAGAAAGAAACAGTTTATTATGGAGCTTCAGGTAGGATCCCACAAGATTTAGTGGCTTCCATTTAAACAATAGAAGGGCTTGGAATGTCATATTCTGAAAGGCAAAGGAGCTAAGATTATAGTCAAAAAAACAAAAACAAAAGGAAAAAAAACCTACCCAGCAAAACTAAGGAAAAAATGGATATTCAGTGAAATAGAGAATGTTCAAGCATTCCTGATGAAAAAACCAAAGATGAGTAGAAAATTTGACATTTAAACACAAGATTCTTGAGAAGCCTAAAAAGGTAAACATGGAAGAGGTAAGGGTCTTGATAAGTTAAACTGTTTACATTTCTATATGGGAAGATGATACATGTAACTCCTAAGAACCTTATTGTTATTAGGGTAGTTAAAAGGAGTCTACAGTGACAAGGGGCATGGATGTGAGTTGATTATATTGGAATAATCTCCAAAAAATATCAAAGGGTGAGAAAGAGGGATGCGTTGGCAGAAGAGAGAGGTAGAACGGGAAAAACTTTCTCATGTAAAAGAGGCGCGCAAGGAAGAGCTTTTGCAGGGGAGGGAAAATGGGTCAGAGAGCGGCAGACAGTGCCTGAGTGTTACTTTGATCAGAAATTGGTTCAAAAAGAGAAGAATACACACACACACACACACACTCACACTCACACTCTCACTCAGTTGTGTATTGAAATGTAACATACCCAATAATGATATAAGAAGGTGATAAGAAAAAGGGGAGGGGATGATGAAAGGAAGGGCAGATTAAGGGAGGCAGTGATTAGAAGGAAGAAAGACTTTTGAGAGGGACAGGATAAAAAGAGAGAGAAGAATAAAAAAATGGAATGGA